TGGGGGCCCCTGCCTCTGTGTGCTGCGCTTGCTCCCTGTCACAGGTCACACCCAGGCAGCATCTCCCCCTGCCAGCCTGCTGCAGTGGGTAGAGGGGCCAGGGGCCACTCCGGGTTAGGGCTGCTTCAGCAGTCCAGCTGGCACAAAGGGTAGTGTCCCCAGATACCAAGTGGCTGGGCCTCAGAAGCTCCTGAGGGCAGTTAGTCCTGAGCTGCTCACCAGGGCAAGTTTTTATACTGCTTAGGTCAGCACAGGGCAGGTTTTTTTTACTGCTGGCGCCAGCACAGGTATTGGTCCCAAGCGCTAGCTCCCCCTGGCTGCAGGTCCGGGAGGAGCTTGGCAGGGTTTTTGCCCCAAGTGGCACAATCTGCCCCACACCAAAGTGCATGTCCGGGCATGTGGGCTGAGGCAAAAATCCCCGGCTCAAATTTGTGCCGCTCCTGTTTGAGCTGCTGCAAGCGCATGTGTGGCCTGCATGTATGGATGCCCAAAGAGACTACTTACATACTTTGTGTCCTCAGCATCAAGAGTTAAAATTGTATTAATACATTCCCTAGTAGTAAAAATATTGTCGATAAATGGAAACTGCCAGAATATTAATAATGAAAAGATATTTTGATTTTCAGCACTCAAAAGTTACCGGGGACTTAATATACATAAACAATATGTTAAAGAACTGCATCCCAAAGTCTGATTTCCTAAAATCTGTGTGACACCAAAGCTAGGGACAGAAGATGAATATAAACCAGTTTAAGTGATCAGGAACTGGTTTACACCTGTAACAGAACAGAAGTTCAGTGCATGTAAACCAGGTTCAAAATGATCAAGAGCTGACACCACCTGTGTTTCCTGATGCAGCGCTGACCCAGCTCAATGCAGCGCTGCGTGGGGCTATGCGGCTCCAGGCAGCACCGGGGCCGCTTGGGCTGTCACCGGGGGGCCGGCACCACTCATGGAAACTGCGTGTTGTGCTGGGCCGGGTCCTGCCTCCATGGAACCAGCCCGACCCAATGGCACGAGGGGTCCGTGGAGGCAGGACCCGGCCTGGCACGACACATGGTCCCTGCAAGCAGCACTGCCCCCCAGGTGACAGCCTGAGCGGCCCTGGTGCTGCTTGAAGCTGCATGGCCCCGCACGGTGCCATGCTGAGCTGGACTGGCCCCACGACAGGCGGTGCCAGCTCTGAGGTGATCAGGCCGTGCTGCGCTACTGGGGATTCTGGCCACAGCAAGTCCTGAGCGCCCCACAGCTGCTGCCGCGAGGGGGGGCACTGTGGGCCCTGCAGGGTGCCCACGCTCCCCAACCAGCCTCCCTACCCCAACACTCCCCACACCTGCTAGGGCAGCTGGGAGCACTATAAAGACGCTCTGGCTGGATGCCAGAGTGTCTCTGGCGGTCCAAGCCCCTGCTTGTCCCGCCACTGTTTTCCGGGGTGTTTTTATTTGATACCTGGAAATCCAGGTATCGGATTTTGAGCCCATGCTGCATATGTGCAGCATGGGAAACATTTTTTCATTTGGTTTAAGATGCCTCAAGAGATGCATGTGCGCTCATCTGGATGCGGCCTTTGAGGTCAATAGAAAAAGTCATGAGAGTGAAGTTGAAAAGCATCAGCTTTCCCTAGCAGCATGTCAGTGCATCATAGGGTTGGAGCTTCATGCTTCATGGATGTGTAAACTGGGAGTGCCCAACTCCCAACTGGGTTGAGGTGCAAGACAGTTTTCCAATGGAGGGTGACCATTAGTATGATCTTCCCTCATCAGATTCAAGCACTCAATATGCTTTGCAAGCAGGGATAGTGTAGGCATGCATATGCAAGTTAATGGATAGCCCTAAAGTGAGAACCAAGGAGTCAGTACTTTACTTTTCAAATCTTTTTCACGTAGTAAAATATTTTAACAAAGAACTATGATTGGTGTGTGCAGCCTGCAGGCTGTGTTGTGCACCCAATTGTAGCCTGACCATGAAGTGTTTGTAGAGAGCCAGGGGCTGTCTTTTCAGTGGGTTTTTTTCTCCTTTTAGTAGTTATCCATCCACAGTTGAAGTTTTTAAATATCATGTTAGTTTGTTATAAATTTTAATCCAAAGTTGCAGTAGCACAAACTTTTAGGTTACCTTTAACACATTTTTAAATAGCTGTTTGAAAAGCCATTAGCAGTGTTTAAAAATATTTAATGCTTGTTAACAGCATGGCCCAATTTAAATACAAAACAACATGTCAAACAACTTTTCAACAATATTCTGTATTAAGGACTTGTAAAGTTACATAACAATACCAGTATACTTTCTTGCTACTTTTATCTTCTAACAAAGATTTAGCCTATAGACAAGCAACCTGGTAACTAACTGTTTAAAACTGGAATGCATACTGACCCAGTTTCTGCTCACTCCTGTATTTATCTTAAATATATTAAGTTTCTGTGACGTAGTAAGAGCATGGCTGAATTAAATACATAACAGTAGTTGTGATTCTGCTGGTTCAGTACTTTAAAAGCTTAGTCGTTGCTTTAAATTCATTTAGAATACTTTAATTTTAACAGTGCTGAATTTGAAAACAGAATATAGTTACTTTTTAAATTATACATATAATTAGTGCCTAGGTTTTTAATCATTTTCCCCAAATTATTCTAACAATACAATTAAATCAAAACCAAATGTTGTTATAGTGAAAGATGCTGACTTCTAGATGAGACTGATTGAAAAACAGTTTCTATTATATAAATACACATAAGTTAATGTGTTTCATTGACATTTCTTTTTCAGATAATCAGCACTTTCCAGTACTTTGACATTTTTTAGGAATACTATTAATATGAAATTAAAGGCGAATGGCATAGATTTTGTGTTTTAATAGGATACCATGATATTTTTGATTCCCAAAAATAATCCACAGCTACAAAGATTGCCACATTTATTTAAGCTATGAATAAAAAGCTATGGAAAAATGTATATTAGTACAGCTGAAATGTTCTAAAGTAGTACCACAAAGATATAAATATATAAATGTGATCTAATTTAACACGCACATTTTTTTTTATCTGAATGATAGAATGTCTAACACATTGATGAAATTCATAGATTAATATCGACTTCTGCAATTGGCTGTAATTACTGGAACAATTTTAGAAAAATTACAGGAAAGTTTTGCAACCTAAATAACCCAAGTACTCGAAAGTTGAGAAATGCCAGGTTTATGGTTTGCTGTCTGTGCAGCCTTAGCTTTGGTTTGCTCCTCCTTTCAACCTTTGAACTGAATGAGGCATGAAACCTAGAGGGGAAATTAGTAGTAGATGATCATATAATCAAAGACTGTATCATAAGCAGGGATCCTGGTTTCCTCTGTTTAAAAATGGCAAATTCTCTTATTAAAAATCACAAATTCTTCCCTCAAAATTCACATTTTTCTGCCATTAAAATGAAACTCCTCTAATATATATGAATCAGTTGCTCACAATGTTTTACTGATATATTTATGATTTTAAAGCAGCTTGGAAGTCTACCACTGCCTCAGTCATTATAATAATTTCTAAATACCTGTACATTTTGGCATTTGATTTTGGTTTTTTTATCATGGAAAATCAGAGGTCTCCCTGCAGCCTTCATCACCAGGATGCAGGCTAAATAATGCTCTTTTGATATAGATTTTCATTTCTTTTTCCCCACTCTGTGCATAATTTCCTCCGGCTCTTTAAAGAGCAAAATCCTAAACCTTCTACAATGCAAAAATGAGTTCCACCATTGCAGTTAACATAAACAGGCTGTTTTTCCAAAATGAGAAATTATGGACTTACAGATGCCTTGTGTTGAATGTAGAGTATGTTTTGAGAGTCTGGTATAGTTTTCTCCTTCTGCCATCTCGGGGAAAGAGGGGTTTCTTCCCCATGTGGTTCTCCTACTTAGGAGAGTGGGGTGCTCATGGGGATCATCGTGGAAGTAAAGAAACTACAAGAGTAAAGCATTATAAAAAGTAGTTAAATCTTTGTAGAACGTCATGGAAAAAAGAAAAGGTA